TCATTAAAAAAGAGAATGTTCGTGAATGCGTTGAAAAAAACCAACAACAACATTGCTTATTGAAAAAGCGTAAATGTGGTTCTTTGTTAGTTTTTTTGCTTGCGTATTTTGTTGGTGTTTTGTTACGTTTGGCTTAGTTGTTGTTATTTTATGTTTTGTTATTGCTAAAGTAACGGTAGAATTGGAATATATAAAATAAATTGAAATGTTATAAACCCTCCATGTAAGTACTGAAAAAGACCTGAAGAAGTGATGATTTTAACAAGCTTGTCATAGGAGGGATGTTCTTTTCATTTGATTCCAAATTCAATACATCTGAAATCATTCTCAAGAAGTAATTGTTATGCTCTTTTTTTTGATGTTATTCGGAATTGAAATTGTAATATTATAGAATACAACTAATTTGACTTAAATAATATTAACATTAATAAGAGTAATAGATATATTTAATTTAATAGAAGCCAAAAATAAAATTTTTTATCTCACAAAAATGTAAGAACAAGAAATATATCTTCAGCATTGAAAAAAAAATTAATTATTTTCGCTCCTTCGGAAGCCATTAAACATCACTTCCACAGAACAGGATTTCGACAATACTCTTCTTAAAGTTTGAGGATTTTTAATAATAAAGAAGTAAAGTAAAAAACTATTTTAAGGATATTAAAATGTTTGCTGCTAACTTTCTTTCATTTTATTTCTCCTTAATTCATCGAAACTTTTCTACGAATTCTAAAAGAACTTTAGTATTATACAAAATTTCAAAATATATGTAATTCTACAGTTTTGTTTGTATGTGCGGAATTTCATGTTATATCAACTCAAAAAAAATCGATTTTGACGAAATTTGCACTAAGGTTAGTACTATTGGATAGTAGGCAGACACAAATTTTCAACTCTATCGGTTAAGAACTGGCGAACTAAGAGGGGGTCCCAAAGTTCGATATTTTGGTCATACAGGGTTTTATTCAAATGAGAGTAACTTTTTACCTATTAGTTCTAGCAAAAATTGTCCAAAGCAGTTCAGATGTCCAAAGCAGTTCAGATGTCCAAAGCTATTTTTTCATTTTTTCAATAAAAAATGTAATTTTTAAAATTTTTTTTAAAAAATTTTTTTTATTTTTTTTAATGGCTCCTTTTTTTGCTTAAAAGAAAGCTTATACAATTTCCTTATAGTCCCATAATGGGATGCGAGTGGGATATCTATCAAAAAATTTATTTTTTAACTCAAGAATACATTTTTTCCATATTAAAAAAAAAGTTTAAAAAAATTAAATATTTTTTTTGGAAAGAATGAAGAAATAGCTATTTCAACTCCTTTGGAAAATTGTTGCTAGGACCAATAGGTGAACAGTAATACTCATTTGAATAAAACCCTGTATGACCAAAATGTCCCCCCTCTAAGTCCGATAGAGCTGAAAATCTGTGTCTGGCCTACTATCCCATAGTTCTAATCTTGGTGCAAATTTCATTCAAATCGGAACATCGATTTTTAAAGTTGGGTCACTTGACACGAAATTCCCCATATGCATATTTCCAACAACTTATTAAATCTTGCTGCAGTTTTCATTTTGATTGAACAACATTAAAATTTTCAAAAAATATTTTTTTTTAATATTAGCTGTAACTTTTCCCTATTTTCTTTTTCTCTTTTCTTTACAGGTTACAAAGAAATTGTAGACAAATACGGCGCGCTGTACTTTCGTCCAAATTATCGTCTGAGCAACTTCTTCTAAAGATTTTTTAAAAATAATTTTATAGAAACAAACAAGAAATTATACATACATACATATATGTATAACCTGTTACAAATCATAAATTGCATTGGCATTGCAAATTGTTAAAGAATGAATGTTATTGCGTTTACAATCTTTCCATTAAAACAGGTAAACAACAAACTAAATGAAACTAAAACAATAGAGGTAACAATTATTCCAAAGAAAATTAAAAGAGAACAAGTGAGAGTGTTATGTTCGGCTGTGCCGAATCTCATATACCCACCACTAAACCGTATGCCTTAAAAGGATATTACTCATCAAATTAACTAATGAGGACCTTATATGAGAGATAGGGTTAATAATTGACCGTTTTTCATAAAAAATTTTTAGACCAATGTTGGTTCATACAAAACATCTTTACATCGAATATCACTTCCCGACACTTTCCGCATGAAATTGGTTAGGAAGATTTATGTTCCTATAAATGTTTTTTATATAAAATTTCATAACTGTTCACATATTTTTAAGTCAGTAAAGATCGTTAAAGTAATTTTCTTATGGACCAATCCTCAATACATTTGGTAAAGAGGTTTTAACTCGTATAAAAAAATATGTATGTGTGTCGAATTTCATCGCTTTTCTGTATTCTGTATTTTTAAGCCAGTAATTTTCGTTTAAGTAATTTTTATGGGGTCAATTATGGACCGATCCACATAAAGTTTGATAGAGAGATTTTTGTATCATTGAAACTTATGTGTGTCGAATTTCATCACTATACTCGTATTTTTAAACCAGTAATGAGCGTTAAAGTCAAATCTTGAAGGGAACCTTATATGGGGGGTAGGGTCAATTATGGACCGATCAACATAAAATTAGGTAGAGAAGTTTTTGATCATAAGAGACTTACTAATGTCAAATTTCATTGTTATACTAGTATTTTTAAGCCAGTAATGAGCGTTAAACCAATTTTCTGAAGGGGCCTTATATGGGGGGTAGGGTCAATTATGGACCGATCCTCAAAAAATTTGGTAGGGAGATTTCGGATGAAATGAAACTTATTTATGTCGAATTTCATCGCTATATTCGTACTTTTGAAACAGATATGCCCATTAAAGCTGTTTTTCGGGGGTCCACTTGTATGGGGGCTATCCGAAAACGTGGACCGATATTGCACATTTTCAATACCAAACAAACCTTACCTATAGAGAATATTTGTGGAAAATTTCAATCCTCTACCTCGCTCCGTTCGGACTCGGACTCTGTTCAGACTCAACAAACAGACAGACGGACAGACATGGCTAGATCATCTTAGAATTTAATAAGGACCCAGAATATATATACTTTTGTGGATCTATGACCAATATTTCGATGTGTTACAAACGGAATGACAAAATCTATATACCCCCATCTTTTTTGATGGTGGGTATAAAAACCAAGCGAAAAGTGGTCAACAGAAATGTTCTTTGATTATTTGAAGGAGAATATACATTTTTTAAACAAATAAGTGTTTTTTTACAAACCGCACAACTGTTACAAAAAATTAATGTTAGTTAGGGCCGTATATATAGATGGAAAGTTAGGTATCTCCAGACCACTTATAAATAGGCGAACGTCGTACCTTCAATCCAAATTATTTCCTGGGCAACTTCTTCCAAAGATTGTTTAAAAAAATTAAACAAAAACTTAAATAAATTGTTGACGTACATCAGGCGTTACAAAGCTTAAATTGCATTTCATTGCAAATATCAAAAATGAAACCGCTCACAAAATAAAAAAAACAGTTGCAAGAGTAAACTTTTACAATACAAAATGCTTCGAACATCGAATACCGCTATTGATATTAATGTATATTAGACCGACTCACATAAAATGAGCTTGAGTTACCCCCTCAATCAATGTATACTGGACACATTGGAAGGTTATACACATTCATCAGACGTGCCTGATCGCATACCAGACACTGAATATGTCGGAAACTTTGAAACGCTAATCCCAGATAGAATGTCTTGGTCAAGCGGAACATTAGAGCAAATACCAGTAGGAATCCGTTGCTACACGGATGGCTCTAAATTAGGGGACAAAGTGGGTCTGGGGTTCTATATTGAAGACCCAGAAACAGAAATATACCACCGTTTACCTAATCATAACACAAGCTTCCAGGCAGAAGTACGAGCAATAACGGAATGTGTAAATTGGATTAGAATAAATATGGCGCCCACAGGGCTTAATATTTTTACCGACAGCCAGAAGGCAATTTGTGCGATATCAGGTGATAGAATTAAATCTAAGACCGTATTGGATTGTAAGAAAGCTTTAACTGAATACTCTCCCAGAGGTAAGGTTCACATCATATGGGTACCAGGCCACTCGGGAGTAATCGGCAACGAAAGGACGAATGTAATAGCTTTAAAGGGAAGGGAGCTCGATGTAGTTAACCTGACAAACGCAAAACCATTCGACGCAACAAAAGCTGAATTAAAAATATGGATGAGAGAATCCCATAAGGCCTCTTCGAATAATGAAACGGTGGGTAGAACCACAAAGATTCTATGGGGTGACCCTGATGAGAGCAAGACGAGAAATCTTCTCAAAATGAGCAAGTCTGAGGTTAGTATGATGGTACGTATTCTCAGTGGACACACAGGATTACGAGCACATCTATACAAAATTGGACGTGCGAATTCAGACGAATGTAGAGCATGTGGAGAGGACAGTGAAACTCTGGAGCACTTTCTTTGCCATTGTCAGGCATTCGTCGAAGTTAGATCCAAGTATCTTGGAAGTGATGTTATTCCGGAAATAACATTCTTAACCAACACCGATTGGAAGATTCTTAGGAATTACGTCCAGGAAACTGAGTTTCTGAACATGGAAAAATAATACATTCAGTGAACCATTTTTTTTTCTTGAATTGGAGCGCACAACAGGCCCGATAGTGGCCTAGGTGTATTTCTTCGGATTTGATGTAGTATACATCCTCCTATCAACCTAACCTAACCTAACCCCCTCAATATATTCGGTGTTGTGTAATATACTACCCAAAATATTTTGGATTTTGTGTTGTCCGTTCGTGAGCAGTTTTCAAGAAAATATCCTATGGGGGACACAAATTTTCATATTCAATTCAATATTTTACCCAGTTTCAAAATCATCATAAAACAAAGAAAGGTAAATTTTGAGAGGGGTAACAAAAACACGTTTTTGCTTTTCATACAGAGTGAGTCGGTCTCATGTATATAAAATCAAAATATTAACCTGTGGCTAAAGCGTTGTTTTAAACTCTTGTTTAAAAAGAATAGGCTTTAAAGGTATCTTTATTACAATAATTGCATTACATATTTCCGAAGTAAAGTTGAAAATTGAAATTATGTTTTAACTGCATTGTTTAAACCCATTTCACTGAGAATTTTTAAAGCATTCTTTGCAGCGTCTTCTTGAGATTCCTTAGCATTTATTCCGACTCCATGGCAAATTTGTGGTGGATTAGTTGAAAGCATAACTATTGTAAGAAATTCGTTGTGATTACCCTTGGGATAATCCGAAAAGTCCACCTGAAATAAACAACAGTTGATAATTTTTTTCTTATATACAAACATTTTTAATATTACTTCAAACCCTAAAAGTTTGGCTAAATACAGTAACTGGTCTTTCATGAAAAGATTTTGACCTTTCGGCGACATATTTGGAGTTGAGAGACTGCAATTATCCTTCAAAACTGCAGGGCCAATCGAACTATTTGTACTTTCGTGCTCGGAAGAAATTGAGTTGCAATTACTTTTTCTTTCATTTTCAAGCATCCGACATGTTTCCGCATTATTTTTGGTATGGTTAGCAACTAAAAATAACAATAGCAAATATAAATGAAATAATTTAAGAAAAATAATAATGAAAAAGGCCCAAATAGACTACACAATCGGCTTGACAAACATACCAATATTTTACGTTTGTGCAAGCCTGTTGTGTAGTGTATAAGGGTTTTTCGTGTTTGTTCAAATGCTTGCTGTTTGTTTGTACAAAAATTAAAAAATTTTGATTATTACACAAATCATTAATAACAATCATTAATAACAAATTTTTCCAAAAATTTACATTTCTAAGAAAAATTGAAATCTGTATCTTTGAAAGTCCACAAAAACGTGAAAAAATCGGTGTTTGTACGAGCAATGTTTGTATATTTGGGCCTATAAGGCTATTTGCTGTAGTAAATTTTGATAAGCCCAATAAAAACCTTACATACATACATACATACATACATACATACATACATACATACATACATACATACATACATACATACATACATACATACATACATACATACATACATACATACATACATACATACATACATACATACATACATACATACATACATACATACATACATACATACATACATACATACATACATACATACATACATACATACATACATACATACATACATACATACATACATACATACATACATACATACATACATACATACATACATACATACATACATACATACATACATACATACATACATACATACATACATACATACATACATACATACATACATACATACATACATACATACATACATACATACATACATACATACATACATACATACATACATACATACATGTCAGTGCGTTCAAGTTCTTTAAAGTTGTCTTTTAATTGTTAATTGTAAAGTTGTTAATGTTCTTGTCCAGTACCTTTAAAATGTTCAATTGAAACTTCAATTTGTGACTAATCTTTATAAAAAGTGAAACTGATTCTCAATTATTCTAAATTGCTCTTTCTACGTAAATATTTAATAATTTTCTATAAATAAATAATAAATAACTAAACTCTTAAAAGCAATTCTTTTATTTTAAATCCAAAAACTCAAAGTAATTTACATTTGGGGGCTCAACCGGCGCTTAAGAAATAAACATAAGTGAATATACAATATAAAAAAATCGGTGGATTTATTCTTAAACAAATGGAAGAAAGTAACGGTTCTCGGGGGAGTTTTCCCGTTTTTCCTACCGAGCGCGTCCCGGGTGGCGGATAGGGGGTGGTGACGGACCATCTGTCCTCTCCCAGTTTTAGTTTGACTCAAGCTGAGGGAAGACAGATTGTGCACCACCTGGGAATATTATATTCCTTTCGGACCAAAAAATTGGAAAAAACACAACATGGAAAATAAAAATATGAAAGTTACGGTGCAGGGCCTAAATAACCCAGTACCGGCAGCAAGTGTTGATCCACTCGCGAGTCACGTGTCGTCGTCATCCTGCAATCGTGAGCAAAATACTACTACGGAGGTGGGTACCTTGGCCTCCGTGGCGGACAATGCGTCAAGTGTACAGCATGTCATTGGCAAAAACATAGGGGTGAAAGAGAAGAATGTACTCGGAGAGAGCTCTAAGCTACCTCAGCCTTTAAATATAGGTGAGGGTTCCGACTCTGAATCCTCAGATGATAATAACAACACCATTATAGCAAATCCCAAAAAGGATGAAGTAGAGCAAATGGTGAAACAGGTGAGTGATAGCATAGCTAAACTACCTATTACAAAGAAAAGACTATCTGGAGCACAGAGGAGGAAGTTGAAAAAGATGCTTCAGGAAATCATAGTTAGTTAATCCAACGACACTCCAAAGGAAAAATCGGACTCTCTCACAAGATCTGAGGCAAAGAGGATCAGGTCTTCAGAAGAGTTGACAACTAAGAATAAACCTAAGAAGAAAAAGAGCTCCCCGTCTTCTAATACACAGTCGAAGCCAAGCCATACTTCACTCAAAGGAACCTCAAGTCAGAATCCTTAGAGTAAGGGTGACAACGCCAAGATAGAAATTCCGAAGACGATCAAGTCGGCGAAATCAACCTCGAAGGTACGTGTATCTCAAGCCACGAAAAGCGAGGAAAGAGAGGCTAGACAGTGAAAAAGGAAAAGAGCCGCCATCTTACGCCAAAATTAGTTAGCACCCTAAAGAACTTGGTGGAAAGTATCCCTCCTCCCTGGGACGGCGCTAAGCTGGGACTGACAAAGAAGAGCGAGCTTCCGGTACTCTTAAAGTCCACTGTCTACATAAAAGGATGGGACAGTAAACTGGCTAATGAACATATACTGGAAATTCTTGGTGGTCAAAATGCTGAGCTGGCCGTGGAAAAATGGGACGTCTTTTACAGGAAAGAAGAACCTGAGGGAACTTTATTTGTAATAGGTATCGACCAGAAATCTATGGCTAGTCTTGCCAAGAATAAAGGTAGGGCTTACTTCGCCTCTTAAGCTGTCATATTCAAAATTGGGAAGGTGCCGATTGGAAGGGCTGTTACAACAAGCCTCGAAAAGGACACTAAAATACCTAAGACCACAGCACCAGTAGCAACTACTGACAACGTTAAGGTGTCAAATCCTAAAAGCGAGGAAGATACCACTAACTCGCCAAAAGAAGGTGCATCTGCCCTTTCCAAAATTGGGGAGGTGCCGATTGAAAGGGATGCCAAAACCGGCCCCGATAAGGACACCAAAACACCTAAGACGGCACCCAAAGCATCATTAGCAAGTACTGGTAATTTTGAGGAGTCAAATCCTAAAAGCGAGGAGGAAATCCCTCACTCGCCAGAAGACAGAACAGCAGAGCTGTCCAAAATTAGGAAAGTGTCGATTAAAAAGACTGCTCTTCCTATGCCTGATAAGGACACCGCAGTGCCATCAATGGTACCCACTGCATCAATATCCACTTCAGGTTACCCGGAGGAGTCAAATCCAACGAGCGAGGATGTGATCACTAGCTTGCTGGAAGACAGTTTAAATGGATGACAATGATTGAGGTTATCCAAATAAACCTCCATCGGAGCGAGACAGCTACCAACGCTCTGATGGCTAAAATTAACACAGGTAAGATACACATAGCTTTAATCCAGGAACCTTGGACGATTCGCAACAAGGTTTCTGGATTAAATCACGTAAATTTCCAACTTTTCTACGTTGATACAGGGTCTCGACCGAGAACATGTATCTTATGTCACAAGAATTTATGTTTTCTCCTCTCAACAGGATTATCCACATCGGATGCAACGGTACTGAAGCAAGGTCGTGGCAACATATACCTTGCATCTGTTTACCTGCCTTTCGATTTTCCGACACTACCACCAACGTCGGAGCTGATGAAACTAGTCGAAGAGGTACAAAGGCAAAATAAGAAAATTGTAATAGGTTGTGATGCCAACTCCCACTATGTAGCTTGGGGTAGTACAAACGCCAATCGCAAAGGACAAGCCCTTATGGATTTCCTTAATACTAAAGACTTGATCACATCGAACTTAGGTAATAAAGCTACCTTCGTCAATAGAATCAGAGAAGAAGTATTAGATATAACTATATGTTCAGAAGAGCTTATAAACGAAATTCAGGATTGGAGAGTTTCGGACGAGCACTCCTTTTCTGACCATCGGTACATAAGATTCAAAATACTACGGCCGCCACCAAAGCCGATAAAGTTTCGGAATAAGTCTAAAACTAATTGAACAACGTTCGGTTCCTTACTAAAGAACCGTTTATGTCAGAACACTTTTCAATGTCGAAATAAAGAGGACATAGACGCCAAAGTAGAAATGCTCACAAGTGCTTTGGTTGAATCGTTCGAGGACAGCTGCCCTCTGCGAGAGCGGAGATCTGCCCAGGAGAAACCCTGGGTAACCGGGGAGATCCAGAACCTTGGTAAGACTCTTCGCAAACTATTTAACCGGGCACGGCGTAAAAAGACCACAGTATACTGGGATGAGTATCGTAGTAAACTTGGTGAATATAAGAAAATTGTTCGTAAAGCCAAACGAGACTCCTGGAAACTTTTCTGTGAATAGGTAGACAGCGTAAATGACGTATCGAAGATAAAAAATTCTTATCCAAAACTCATGTCCAACCAGAATCTATGGTCGATGATACGGGCAGGAGGCTGGAGGATATGGAGGAGACAATGAAACTCCTAATGGACTCTCATTTTCCACGCGGTATATCGAATAACATAGATGAACCGATATTGGAGGAAGGGGAGGCTAACACGGAAATTGTAATTACATCTGATATGGGTAAAGGGGCAATCAAGAGCTTCGCTCACTATAAAGCTGCAGGGCCGGATGGGATTTTCTCGACAAAGACCTAACATTTAAGCAGCATGCTTATGTAAAGGGACGATCGGTGGAAACCGCTTTAAACGAAGTTGTCCACTACATAGTTGCATCCTTTTATAGCAAACTATATACACTGGCGGTATGCATTGACATCGAAGGCGCCTTAATAGTGTGCACACTGATACTCTTATCCAATCCCTAGACCAGTTTTATGTTGACCGGGTGCTCCGTAACTGGATCAACCACATGCTAAGGAACAGATGCATAAGCTGCGAGATGTACGATAAAACTATCGAAATATCAAAAGATATTTCGCGGTATACCACAGGGTAGCATTTTGTCACCTTTACTCTGGGTTACCACGATTAATAGCCTCCTAAGGACCCTAACCGAGAAAGAACTTAGGCCTATCTGCTATGCAGACGATGTCGTAATACTTTTAAAGGGAAAGGATCTAAATTACTTGTGTAGAAGAGCTGAGGAGGCTCTGAATACGGCCTTGAGCTGGGCTCAACCGAGAGGCCTCAATGTTAACCCGGCAAAAACGGAAATCTATCTTTTGGCAAAAAAGACAAAAATTTCTACGTTCGAAAGACAAAAATTTCTACCTTGCTTCCTGAACAAGAAGATACCAGTGACAGACAAAGTAAAGTACTTAGGTGTAATCCTCGAATGGAGACACCACATAGAGGATAGGATCAACAAGGCACATCGGTGCTGGGAGATATGTAGGAGAACTATAGACATGAAATGGGGTCTTAGTGCTACTATGACATATTGGCTTTATAAAAGTGTAATTAGACCAATTCTAGCTTATGCTTCAATAATCTGGTGGACTGCTTTAGACAAAAATTGTAATATCAAACTACTAGAGGGAGTTCAGCGTACATGCTGCTTGGGTATAAGTGGTGCCATGTGTACTACTTCAACCAAGGCTCTGGAAACGTTGCTAGATATTCCACTCATTGAAACATATTTAAGATATGAGGCAGCGCTTACAGCCGAACGGCTCTTTACTTTAGGCGAACTGGCCAAAAGCGGTTATAGGACACGTCATCAATGTATACTGGACACATTGGAAGGTTATACACAATCATCGGACGTGCCTGATCGTATACCAGACACAGAATATGTCGGAAACTTTGAAACGCTGATCCCAGATAGAATGTCTTGGTCAAGCGGAACATTAGAGCAAATGCCAGTAGGAATCCGTTGTTACACGGATGGCTCTAAATTGGGGGACAAAGTGGGTCTGGGGTTCTATATTGAAGACCCAGAAACAGAAATATATCACCGTTTACCAAATCATAACACAAGCTTCCAGGCAGAAGTCCGAGGAATAACGGAATGCGTAAATTGGATTATAATAAATATGGCGCCCGCAGCGCTTAATATATTTACCGATAGCCAGAATGCAATTAGGGCGATATTAGGCGATAGAACTAAATCTAGGACCGTATTGGATTGTAAGAAAGCTTTAACTGAATACTCTCCTAGAGGTAAGGTTCACATCATATAAGTACCAGCCCACTCGGGAGAAGTCGGTAACAAAAGGCGAATGTAATAGCTTTAAAGGGTAGGGAGCTCGAGGCAGTTAACCTGACAAACGCGAAGCTATTCGACGCAACAAAAGCTGAACTAAAAATATGGGTGAGAGGATCCCATAAGGACTCTTGGAATAATGAAACAGTGGGTAGAACCACGAAGATCCTATGGGGTGACCTTGAAGAGAGCAAGACGAGAAATCTCCTCAAAATAAGCAAGTCTGAAGTTAGTATGATGGTAGGTATTCGGAGTGGACACACAGGATTACGAGCACATCTATTCAAAATTGGACGTGCGGATTCCGACGAATGTAGGGCATGTGGAGAGGACAGTGAAACTCTGGAGCACTGTCTTTGCCACTGCCAGGCATTCGTCGAAGTTAGATCCAAGTATCTTGTAAGTGATGTTATTCCGGAAATAACATTCCTGACTAACTGATTGAAAATTCTTAGGAATTACGTTCAGGAAACTGAGTTTATGAACACTGAAAAATAATGCATTCAGTTCCCTTTTTTTATGATAAGGAGCGCACAACAGGCCCGATAGTGGCCTTGGTGTATTTCTTCGGATTTGATGTAATATACATCCTCCTATCAACCTACCTACCTACGGTTCGACAAAACCAAAAGCAACATACCATACAAGAGCGCAAGCAGCAAATAAAAACATAAAAACACCAACAAAAAGCGAAAAAATGAAATTGAAGAACAAATAGAAGTATCAAACAATAAAGAACAAAAAATCAGTGAGAGTTCTGCAATAGGAAAAGAGATCAGTATTGAAGTTTATAGAAAGAAGGAGAAAAGTTTAAATCTAAGAAGTGATAACGGAACAAAAGTTGAAAAAGAAGTTGAAAATATCTGCAGTGTAAAACAAAGTAAAGAAACTGTAAGCAGAAAAGAAGATTGGAATAAAAGTAAAGAAGTTGAAAATAAAAACAAAGAAGTTGAAATTAAAGAAGTTGAAAATAGAAACAAAGAAGTTGAAATTAAAGAAGTTGAAAAAAGAAACAAAGAAGTAGAAATTAAAAACAATCAAGTCGAAAATAAAGAAGTTGTGAATAAATGTAAAGAAATTGAAGATAAGAAAACACAACTTAAGAACAAAGAAGCTGAGAATAAAATTAACGAAGTTGAAAATAGAGAGACAGAAAACAAACAAGTTACAAATAAAGAAGCTTAAAATAAAAACATCGAAACCAACAGAACTAAACTAACATCTCATTTTAATAGTGGAAACCTAATTACAAGTGTCAAAAAACTTAATCCAAATTGTGAAGAAAAAAAATGGCTGTCGATCCAAATCAAAGTTTAAATGATTTAATTAAATTGTTGACGGAAAAAATGAAAAAAGAAGAAGAAGATAAAAACATACCAAACAGTGGACAATTTTTCAAAGATTTTGGCTGATTTTGATGGAGAAAAAATTCCAGTAAAACAGTGGTTTAATAATTTGGAATTTAATGCATCAGCTTATAGTTTAAATGAACAACAAAAATACGTTCAAGCGCGAAATAAAATGATCGGTACAGCTACATTATTTTTAGAAACAATTAATGTTAGCGATTACGAAATGCTAAAATATAGTTTGATAAACGAATTTGACAAAACTTTAAGTAGCAATGAATTACATAAAATGCTCTCAAATAGAAGAAAATCTGTTAGTGAATCTTTTCATGAATATGTACTGCAAATGCGAAAAATAGCAGCTCTTGGCAACATCGAAGAAATTTCAGTGATTCGCTACATTGCACATAGGGGCACAGACATATTAAGAAGAGCGATAAATCAACCAATGGCTTTCGATACAAGTGATTGGTATCAATAAAAAGATAATTTTCTCTAGATTTTGAATTTGTAAAAATATCATAACCCACCGAACAAAATTATACAAAAAAGATATAAAATATAAAAAATACCAAAAATATTTTTTTTTAATTTTTCCTAAATAATGTAATGATTATAAAAATTAGTAAATACTAGTTATATAATAACGCTATTACAATTGTTAAAAAATTAAAATGCACTTAAAGAAAATTTTTGGTCAATTTTAAAAGAAGTTAACAGGGTACAAAATTCTTTGAATATTTGATGGTCAAAAGTACTTACTCAACTCGTAATCAAAATTTTTTTATCAATATAATAACAAATGCTACATTGATTTCATGATAAAGTTGTTTCGAATCATTACTTCAAAATTAAAGGAAAAGTTTTAGTTACAAAGTTTTATAATTCATTCATTGATATTCTAATTCGAAATCTCCATCTATTATTATTATTCAGGTCGTTTATATAAAGTTGAGCCATCACCGCCGTTATTAGTTAGAATCTTGTTTAGAATGTTTTCTAAGGAATATTGAGATAATAAGGGGGTTAAGCAAGATGTTAAATTACTAACTTCATGCCTAACAGAAGTTAGCTACTTAAAGCATTTATTAGTTCCCAGCAATGAACATACATACATACATACTGTGGATATAGAATACATATGTACCTTTTTATACTATATATACATATATACTAATGAGATATATAAACAAATTTAGTAGTTTTCCGATATCTATTCCGACTGAAATTTTAATCGAATGTTTGCTGGGTAATACTTATATATTTTTAAATTCTTTATCTATTTTAGAGCTTAGACATCATAATATATTTCAAAAACCATATAAAACAATGATTGTAACCGAAATTTTACTTAAACAAGTTAATTTCTACTACATAAGGTACAAAAAAGGTGGCATCTCTAAAAAATATTTTAAAATTCTGTATTAAATAATTTATACGTTTTTAGCAATTTTAGAAAAAATTATTGACTATTTGCATTTAAACCTTATTGAAATCAGTTATTATATAAATCAAGTTGAAATAATCTATGTGTACATGAATATCTTCAAACTCGAAAAAAATCAAAAACCGCAAAATGTTAAAAGAGATTATAATTCTAGACATCCCCTACTTTAAAGGATATATAATGGTTATGGGCATTTTTGGACATTTGTGTTACTTTTTTACCTTCAAACTTTTGAAAATTAACAAAAAAATAATTATAATTTTCCTTTCAAGTTGTGCATTTTGACACCTTTAACCATTACATACTATGTCTTAAAAATTCGTAGATCAATTCTCAACAATACGTAATATTAAACCTCGTAAAGAAAAAGTAGGCTTTTTACAATAGAAGGTCATATTATTAACATGAAGTATAGGTCTTTAAACAGGAATTATTACCACATTTCAAATAATTGTTTTTTTCATCAACTTTGAGCTCAGCTCAAAGCTACTATGAAAAATGTTGCGAACAAATCTTATGCAAAAAATTGTCCTGTTTCAAATGATATATCACTTGTTTTATAAAAATCAGTTTTCATTTTTGATTTATCGCCACAAGTCTCCATATGGCTGCCCCATCGTGCATTATAGATGGATTAACAATTAGAAGTGACGTAAAATTTCAGTTATACAGTGCAACTACCTTTAAAGAGCTTCGAGAAAAATATGAAATTTTTGAGCGGGTAATGAAAATCGGGGTACCGATGAACGTTTTAAAAAACAATCGCACTCTGCATATGAAAAATATAATAGTGACATAAAAAATAAATTTTATCGTGAACATTGTTTAACTGTGGATCTAAAGACCATAAAAGAAATGAATGTCAATCAGAACCCAAATGTTTTAAATGCAATCACTACGGACATATTGCAAAAAATTGTGAAATGCAAAACTTAAATAAATTACCGGAAAAAAATGTTAATGTCATTATACATAAAAAACGACTAAAACCAATCAAATTAAATAATAATGAATTAGACTGTTTAGTTGATACGGGCTCAGACGTGTCTATTGTTAAAAACTCAATTTTTAAAGATAAATTAGGCGAGTGCAAATTAAAGGACAGTCAAGCATTGTTATTTGGTCTTGGCAATGTTAAAACTAAACCTATCGGTTATATTACGTGTGATATAATTGTTGATGACGTAACAAATAAACATGACTTTATTATTTTCCAGGATGAAGCTATTAAATTTGATGCAATTTTGGGATATGATTTTACTAAAAACTTTGTATTTTACTCAAATAAAGAAGGATATATTTTCAAATATGATAATGACAATGTTAATAATATCCAACATAACGGATTTAATGTTTATAATGTTAGCACTATCGATCTAGATTAGGGATGCTAAACGGGACTGGTTTTTACAAATCCCGGGATTCGGGATTTTGAAAATTTATATCCCGGGATCCCGAAATATCCCGGGATTTCTGAGTAGATCGGTATACTTTAAGGTGCGTGTGGGACAAATATTTTTATGCGTTACAAACATCAGCACAAATGTATAATACCCTCCCCACTGTAGTGGTGTAGGGTATAATAAATATAACGTTCAATCCTTCGAATATCAATTTATATCATAAATGAACCTTTTCTTTGGAAAATGTTATCTACATTCAGAACAATTTAATTTACCTTTACCGTATTTCAAATTTGTAGAAAGCTTGAAATGCAAAACCTTCTAGATATAATTTAAAAAATAAATTTTATATTTGACTGTGCCGAAATAAAATAAATATTCCGGTATGTGATGGAATTCGAACGATTCGATCGAGGAATGGTTTATTATTTTCTTGCAAAATACTACGAAGACAACAAAATACTTTCCATTTAGGAAATCAATTTAAAAAAAATATATTTTGGAAATTACAAACGGAATGACAAATTTATATATACCCTTCTCACGAAGGTGAAAGGTATAAAAATATGATAATTTGTATAAAAAGCCGCAGAAAATTTTGTATTATTTTTGTAGATTCAAATCTATTTCAAAAATTAATTTCATCAAATAGCTGATTGTAATGTATTGATATTAATATTGGCGTCAAATTGAATTTTAGAGGAGGTACTTTTAGGATTTCTTGTGTTAATTTTGGTCCAAATTTGCGGCCTAAATAGAATGAGACTACTATAGACAAATAATGTGTATACTTTTTGGGTCTACGACGAAATGAAAAAATAAATTTGTATGTACTATATATGGTATTATACCACTTTAAAAAATAAAAGGTTCAAAATGTACAAGAATTTTGTTCTGCATAAGTCAAAAATAAACTAAGATCGTAATTTTCAAGCAAATTATGGCTCAAAAAAGAAATTAAAAAAAATTTTTAGTAACAATTCCCGGGATTCATTTTGAAAAATCCCGGGATTCGGGATATCCTAATCCCGAAAAAAATCCCGGTATTCGGGATTTTTTAATCCCGAAAAATCCCGGGATTTTCGGGATCGGGATTGGCATCCCAAATCTAGATGCTGATACAAAGTACAAAGAAATAATTAAAAATTTTGTAGGTGGATATAAACCATCAGTAAAGTGTGAAAATTGTCCAATAGAAATGAAAATCACTCTAAATGATCAAATTAAACCTTTTCATCACTCACCAAGTAGCCTATCATTCCACGAAGAACAAGTAGTAAACAAACAAGTTGCAGAATGGTTGCAGACTGGAGTGATTCGAAAGTCCTGCTTGAATGTAGCTAGCCGTGTTGTCGTTGTTAAAAAGAAGAATGGAGAATATAGAGTTTGCATCGATTTTCGTAACTTAAATGCTATGGTACTCAAAGATCGTTTTTGCGTACCAGTAATTGATGACGTATTGCTGAAATTACAAAAAGCCAAGTTTTTCATAGTTATGGAGTTAGAAAATGGATTCCTACATGTTGGTGCTGAAGAATCTAGTAGAAAATACACCGCTTTTATTACAAAACAAGGTTTGTTTGAATTTAATAAAGCCCCGTTTGGCTTTTGCAACTCACCAGCAAATTTTATAAGGTATGTTAACTACATTTTTCAAGACCTTATTAATGATGAGATTATGGAGTTATATATCGACGACTTTGTGATTTATGCCGATACTACCGAAAATTGTTTAAAAAAGCTTCAGATAGTGCTGGAAAGAGCATCAAAATTTGACCTTAAGTTTAAATGGTCTAAATGCGTTTTCATGAAAAATAGAATTGACTTTTTAGGCCATACTGCACAGTGGGGCAGAATCGAAATTTTTTTATTATCCACTGAGCTACGTCTCTAGGAACATCTCTTTTTGATACTGTCTGTTTAAAAGCCGCACAATCAGTAACAAGTTTAAAATCAATTCCGAGTAAGTAGTGTCGCATTTTTTTA